CAGCTACTCCTGTAGTCCCAGCTACTCCTGTAGTCCCAGCTTCTCCTGTCGTCCCAGCTACTCCTGTCGTCCCAGCTACTCCTATAGTCCCAGCTGCTTCTATAGTCCCAGCTACTGGGGAGGCTGAGGCAGGAGGATCGCTTGAGCCCAGGAGTTGGAGGCTGCTGTGAGCGAGGCTGACGCCCGGGTGACAGAGCGAGACTCTGTCTCAAAAAAGAACCTTCCACCAATATTTGGCAAATGCAATCTTCGAAAAAAGTGTCACGCGAAAGCTCTGAGGACACACGTGACACCCCAGCTTGCCCCTGCACAGACCCAGGCCCCGAGGACGGGCCCGGGTCGCTCGATGATGCAACATATTCCACACTGGGGACAAGATCTCGCAGGCGGGGCCGCCCTCCTCTCCGGCCTGCGCTGGGCTGGTGTCTCCGCCAAGGGCCGAGCGCTGTCCCCACATCATTGCTAGATGACAGGTGCCGGCCCGCACCAGCTTGCGGGTGTAGACTCAAGGATGAACAGAAAGAAATAATAATAATAATAGTAATAAAAACAGAAAGCAAGAAAGAAAAGGGAAGCTAGGCTGGCTCCTATCAACAATGAGAAGTCTGAAGACTCGTGGGACACTTGGCATTCTCCGGCGAGAGCGTCACTCAGACCGGGCCCTTGTGGCGGGGACTCTGGGGCCTCGTGGACCTGGGAGACGAGGCCACTGTGACCATTCGTTGATGCGTTCGCTCGGCGGCTCACCCACGGCTGCTTTGATTCAATTATTTATTGGGCCTTGACTCTGTGCCAGACCCAGAGAACAAGACTGGCCGAGGCCCTGTCCCCTGTCCCCGGAGCCTGTGTCCTCGTGGGATGCCTGAGGACAGGGGTGATCACCCGGAGGGACCGAGGCAGGGAGAGCACCTCCTTCAGCTGGGACAGACGGGCCTGAGATCCGGTGATGGGAAGAGCGCGTGGAAGGGCATTCCAGACCCAGGGAACAGCGCGGCGGGAAGCCCTGAGGCTGGAACAACCTTTGCACGGCCAAGACCGGCACGGTGGGGACACGCTGAGGGGGGAGTCCCCCTCCCGCCCAGCGCCTGAGACGCCGCCTGCTCATCTTGGAGCCGAAGCGTGTGGCGTGCACCGATTTCCGTCTGCAAAGCGTCCTCCCCGCGTTGCCCGGGGGACATCAGAGCGGAGGGTGGGTGGCGGGCCACTGACGCCTGCATGGGGACAGGAACAGAATCCCCGCTTCTAAGGAGGCCGCCCAAGCCGGGGGCGCAGAAACGGGTCCGAGGGTGGAGAGAGATGCGGGCTTGGGGGAAGGTTTGCATTTGAGAAAGGACCAGAAAATGCAAATAATTGCAAATTGCAATTCGTTTTTGCAACACCGTCGGATCGAAAGCTGTCGGCGTTAGAATAATGACGCTGGGGGCCAGGTCCTCGGGGCTCAGGGACAGGTCCCAGGGGACGCTGCACACCCAGCCACCTGACCCCGCTGTGTCTCTCTTGCCCCCAGATCTACGAAGGAGCCTACCACGTCCTCCACAAGGAACTTCCCGAAGTGACCGGCTCCGTCTTCCACGAGATTAACACGTGGCTCTCTCAGAGGACAGCGGCGGTGGCCGGAGCCAGGTCCCCACCCTGAATGCCCCCTGCAGGGGGTGCCCGGCTCACGGCCCCCCCCCCGGGGGGGTTGGCGGGGGGACGCGGGCGCAGGGGAAGGGCAGAGCTGAATTCTCAGATGTGGCTTGCAAAAAAAAAAAAAAAAAAGCAAAAAAACTCACAGATTGCAGGAATCCCTAGCAAAACTTAACAGGAAAAAAATAAAAAGACATTTCTGTCCTATATTCGGCCGTCGGCCACCAGATCTACCTTAAGGGGTAGATGTTGTATGCAAAAAAAAAAAAAAAAAAGAGGTTACAGGGAATTTTCCACGGAGGGAATATTCTAGAATGTTCTTTTTCAAGAAAGCCAAGCCTCTGCCCCGCCCCTCCCCGCTCCCACGGGGTTCCCAGGAATCCCTGGTGTTCTGCAATAATCGGAGGAGGGTCCCCTCCCGCCCGCCCCTCGCCCCTCCCCGGCGCCCCTCCTTTGACGGGCCCCAGCCTGTGGCCTCGCTCTGGCCGCGTGACGCGGTGGCTGATGTCACCGGAGAGGCCGAGACTCACGGGCCCTTCTGAGGCCCACAAAATGCCCGGAGCTTCCTCAAAACGACCGGGGCCCCGCTCCGTGGACGGGGAATCGGCTCAGCCCAGAGAGAGCTGAACGGGACCCCCGGGGGGGCCCTTCTGCCGTCCCCTCCCCGAGTGCCGTGAGTGTGTGACAAGGGCTGTCCTTCCTAGAGTCGCTGACCTTCCCCGATGCCACAGAGAACCGTATTGAAGGTGCAATGTCTAATATAGAACGTAGATTCTAGAGCAGAGGCTATTTGGGTGGGTTAGGTGGGTGCGAGCAGGGGGTCCTAGAGGACCACAAGCCCAATGCTGCTGCACAGGGCCGGAGAGCCTATGCCGGCGGTCCCCGAGCGGGACGTGGAGCAGGGGCAGCCCCAGGGACTGCCCGTGGCCTGGGCCACTGTGGGCGTCTGCCTGGTGGCGGAACAGCTACCTCTGGTGGCAGGAGAGAGAGAGAGAGAGGCCCAGCGCAGTGACGTCCCGGCCGGCCAGCCCAGGGCTGCCTGGGACACTCATTGGCCCAGAGCAGCGACAGGAGGTGACCCCGGCCCCACCCCGCGGCAGGACCGGCAGGGCCGGGCCGCACCCTGAGCCTCATCCGTCCTCAGGTGCCAGCAATAAACGGGGTCACCGCCCACCTTGGGGACCCGCCCCCCCCAGCGTGAGGTCTGGGACTCGGGTGGCTCTCTTCGCTCCGTTGGGTGGCCCCAGACGCTCCCAGGAAAAGCAGAAACCCCGTCCCCAAACCCAGAGACACCCCTGGGCTCGGAGCTGTCACCGCCACCAGGAGCTGCGGGTCCCGTAGGCCCCCGCCACCCGCCCCAAATTAAAATAATGGCAGGCACGTGGCCTGAGCCGGGGACTCTTCCAGATGCATCTTCCGGGAACACACGTGGATTCGGCAGCATGGACGGTAGCATGAGACAATCACCAGGATTAAAAAAAAAAAAATGGGGGGACTGGGAGAGGGGACAGGGGGACATCGCCGGGGCTCGTCCGCCTGCTGGGTCAGCAGCTGCGTGGGATGCAAAGCCAAGTCCCCTCCCCTCTGCGACGCTCGGAGCGCCGGGCGGAGCCGTGAGGGTCGAGAGGGGACTCGGTCCACCGGGGTTGGGGACCACAGCCCTGCACAGACCCCCTTCCCGGGCCCCGTCTCGCTCACACGAACCCTACTAAGACCGCGACGATTCTGTAAGTCGCACACTGGGCTGTGATTGTCACCGCGGCTCGGTGCTGTCCCTCCGTGCGGGCCGCTGGCGGGGGACGCGCGTGTCAGCTTAGAACTGCTAGAGGCACCCGTGCACGCTGCAGCTGACCCTAATAAACCATGTTTTCTGAACGGCGTCCGTCTGTCTGTCCCTTGCAGCGGGGTCCCTGACCCTAGACGACCGCGTCCCTGGCGGGGAACGACGGGCCATTTGCACGCAGGGTCCGGACCGACGCGTGGGTTTTATTTTCTCTCCTCCACGCTTGGGGGCCGCTCCCGGGGTCACAGTGGCTCACAAGCGTGTCCACCTACAGCTGCCACCGCGCCCCCCCCCCGGCCCCAGCTTCCCACACGGGGACATCCGGACGCAAGCGTGGCCCCGTCCCCAGCGGCTGGCCCTCAACTGCCCCGTCCCTGCCCCACCTGTCCCTCCAAAGGATCCCCACAAGGACACCGCTTCCCTCTAGCGCCCCGGCTGTCACCACGACCCCCCGAGGGACAGTGACGGCAGCCTCCCCGGTGGGTCCCCACTTTGTCCCGTGCCCCCGTCTCGTTTAAATCAAGGCAGAGTCCTTCCCCGGGCCCCGTGGCCTCACCTGCGTCCCCCCGGCCGCGACAGCCTCGTCACCTGCTCCCCCCCCCCCCCCGCCCGGCGCCTTTTCCTCCGGCGCCATCCGGCGTGACGCGTGTTCCGCGTGTCCACCTGGTGGTGCTCTGCCATCCCCCCCGCGGGAACACGAGCTGCGGCGGGGCCTGGCCCGGCCTGGACTGGACCCCCGGCTTCCCGGAGGGTGCCCAGAAACAGCTGTCCGATGGGGCGGGGAGGGAGAAGCGACGCCTTCTCCGAGCCGGCCGCTGAGCTTGGCGCCGGGACGGACGCGGCGTCAGCTTGGTGGCCCGGCCACCGCGCAGTTGCCGGACGGGCCGCGTGTCTGCTTCGCTGGGATGTTCTCAGTCGCGTCCAAGCAAGGGCCCCGCAAGCCTGCGCCCGGCCGATCACGGCCACAGCCGCTGTGCAGAGGTCCCTCGGAAGGGGCGGGGACCCGAGGGACGGCCGTCGTCCCCAGGGCCTCGTGCTCGGCCTGCTTGCGAGCAGGTCCCGCCCTGAGCGTCGCTGCATGGAGCTCAGAGCGAGGGTCCGCGCCACCGCCACCGCGCGTGGACTTATCGGAAGCTCCTTACTGGGCACCGTGTCCGGCCCCAGGGGGATGGCGACAGGGCACGATGAGGCGGGTCACCCTCACAGAACGAGGACACGGGGCGACACGAGCTCCCACCCTAGAGCCAAACAGCAACGGCCACCATGAAGAGCCGACACCAAGAAAGAGCGATAGCTGTGGGAGAGGGGACACCTATCCGGGCTATGGCTTTAAGTAGAGGACACGGCCGCAACCAAAATGGAGGTGAGGAGGGAGGGAGCGTCCGCGGCCTCACGTCACCACCCCCCTTCTGCTTTCCCAAACTCCCTTTAGCCCGTCTTGACCACACACATGCCTTCGGCCACGGCCCAGCACAGCTGCTGCAGCTCCGGCCATTGCATCCTCATTCCAGCCAGCAAGAGGGGAAGAAAAGGGGCGGCCACGCGCCTTTCGAGGCATAAAGCAGAAATTAGAAATCGCCTCCAGGGGAGTCCCGGGTCCAGAGAGAGCTAAGAATAAAGATCGAATAAAATCGGAGAGGCCATTTCTACGTTGAAATCAACCCCATCTTGCAGCCGAGTGTAGACGCTGCGTTTCCAACTCTGGCATTTGAGTTGAATCCTGCTGTTGGCCCTCCCTCTGCCAGGTGACCTCAGCCTTTTCCTGGCGGACACAGAAGCCACCTGACCCCTCGCTACAATGGTGGCCTGATTATGATGAAGCAGGCCGGGCGCGGTGGCTCACGCCTGTCACCCCAGCACTCTGGGAGGCCGAAGCGGGAGGATCGCTCAAGGTCAGGAGTTCCAGACCAGCCTGGGCAACATAGCAAGACCCCACCTCTACAGAAAATGAGAAAAATGAGCCGGGCATGGTGGCGCATGCCTGGAGTCCCAGCTACTCGGGAGGCTGAGGCAGGAGGATGGCTTGAGCCCAGGAGTTGGAGGTCGCCGTGAGCGAGGCTGACGCCACGGCACTCTAGCCCGGGCGACAGAGCCAGACTCTGTCTCAAAAAAAAAAAAAGACCTTCCTTTCCTTCCTCCCCCAGAGCCGGGTCACCAAGCTGAGGACAGGCAGGGGCTGCGACCCTATTAGGGCGCGTGGGGGGCAGTTTTCTGGGGATGCCCTTCAGCCACGTGGACACCCCCCCGACCTTGGCCCCTGAGGCTTCCCGCGCCCCCCGGGCGGAGAAGCCTGGTGGCGGCTGGCAGGGAGGGAGGGAGCCGGGCTAGGGCCAGGCCCAGGTGAAAGGCTCGTCCCCAACCCCAGACTGGCTCCCGCCCTTGCCCCTCTGGCCAACGCCTGTTCCCAGAACCCCCCGGTCCCAGGCTGCGCCCCGGGACCCAGACTCGGGCTCCCACAGCAAGTCCAAGCTTTATTGCCACACATGGTGGCCCGGAGAAGCCAGCGCCGGTGCACGGCCGGGGACAGGGGCGGGGCGGGGAGGGGACTGCACGGGGGTTTCCCTGAGTGGCGCCCAGCCCCGGTGTCTTGGGGACCGGCGTGTGCGCTGGGAGGGGGGGGCCCCGGCTCAAAGAGACCCTCCCCCCGGGGTCCCCAGTGAGCCCCCGCCCACCGTGACGCCCTCCAGTGCGCAAAGAGCGGGACGGCTGCGCGCACACACACGCACACACGCACGCACACGCACACACACCCACACGCACACATGCACACACGCACACACGAGCACACACCACGTACACATGCACACACGCACACACGCGCACATGAACACACACGCACACAGGCACACACGCACATGCACGCGCACATACATGCACACGCACACACGCACACAGGCACACACATACGCGCACACACGCTTGTCCCCGAGGCAGCCCCGGCCCTGGGGCGCACCCGGCGGCCGCAGGCCTCAGCAGTCGAGGCCCATGGAGGCCAGCAGGTCCTCGAGCGCCCGCAGCCGCCGCCGGGCCTCCTCCACGGCGCTGCGGGTCTGCACGGTGCCGGCCACGTGGAAGCGGATGTCGTCCACCAGCGGGATGGAGTCGGTCTCCTGCCGGGCCGCCACGGCCGCCGCCTCCTCCCGCACGGCCTCCGCGAAGTCCTCGCGCGCCACCAGCTGCGGGACGGGACGGGCCGGCTCAGCGCGGGGGCGACGGACGGACGGGCAGACGGGCAGACGGACAGACAGATGGACAGACGGACGGACAGACAGATGGACAGACACATGGACGGACGGACAGCCAGACAGACGGATGGACAGACAGCCAGACGGACGGAACAACGGACAGACGGACAGACAGATGGACGGACAGACAGACGGACAGACAGCCAAACAGACGGAGAGACGGACAGCCAGCCAGACGGACGGACAACCAGATAGACAGACAGACTGATGGACAGACAGACGGACAGACAGATGGACAGGCACCCAGACAGACAGACGGACGGACGGACAGCCAGACAGACGGACAGACAGACAGACACATGGACAGACGGACAGACAGCCAGACAGATGGACGGACAGCCAGACGGGCAGACGGGCAGACGGATGGACGGGCAGATGGACAAACGGACAGACAGACGGACAGACAGCCAGACAGACGGACGGACAGACAGACGGATGGACAGCCAGACAGGCGGAGGGACAGACGGGCAGACAGACAGACAGACGGACGGACGGACGGGCAGACGGGAAGACGGACAGACAGACGGACAGGCAGACGGGCGGACGGACAGCCACACGGATGGACAGATGGATGGATGGACAGCCACACAGACGGACAGACAGGCGGATGGACGGACAGACAGACGGACAGCCAGATACACGGACAGTCAGCCAGATAGATGGACAGACGGACAGACAGACAGACGGATGGACAGCCAGACAGGCGGAGGGGCAGACGGGCAGACAGACAGCCAGACGGACGGACGGACGGACAGCCAGACTGACAGACGGACAGACAGGCAGATGGACGGACAGACAGCCAGACAAATGGACAGACAGACAGATGGACGGAGAGCCAGACAGACAGACAGACGGATAGACGGACGGACAGCCAGACAGAGACAGGCGGACGGGCAGACGGGCAGACGGACAGCCACACGGATGGACAGATGGATGGATGGACAGCCAGACAGGCGGATGGACAGCCAGACAGGCGGAGGGACAGACGGGCAGACAGACAGACGGACGGACGGACGGACGGGCAGACAGGCAGACGGACAGACAGACGGACGGGCAGACGGGCGGACGGGCAGCCCTCCCGCCCCGCGGGGCCGCCGCGCACCTTGTCGACGACCTTGGCCATGAACTCGGCGCACTGGTCCTCGAGCCGCGCCAGGCGGAAGAGCTTGGCCACGCGCCACACGCGGACCACGCTGTCCTCGTCCAGCAGCTGCGCCAGGCTGCGGCCGCACAGCCGCTTCAGGCCGGGCAGCAGGAACATGTCGGCCGCGGCCAGCACGTCGCAGGCCGCCTCGGGGGGCAGCTGCGGGGCGAGAGCGGGCGGGGGCGGCGCCCCGAGGTCACCGGGGGCTCCCAGGGCTCCCCCCCCGGCCACGTCCCCTGCGGCGCGCGGCCGGGCCGGACTGCGGGGGACGCGCCCAGGGGACCTCCGGAGGAGGCAGACCCAGCTGTGCGACCCGGGCAGGTGGCTGCGCCTCGCTGTGCCTCGGTTTCCCGCTCTGCGAGCTACAGATGATCACGGCCGCCTCGAAAAGTCGTCACGTTGCAGACGGAGGTGGCCGTGATCGTCGGCACACAGGCGTGCCGGCGTGGGGAGGCCGGTGACGCCGATGCCACACGGCCGGGGACTGCGGTGGACACGCTGGCATCTGCCCCTCCCCCCGACAGGCTTCCTCTCCTCCCCTCCCCCATGAGAACAGGGCCCCGGCCGGCGGGGAATGAGCTTCCCGGCCACCCCCGCCCCCACTGGTGGCAACTGTGGCCACGAGGCTGTCCCCAGCAGAAAGCGAGAAGTGGGGTGCGTTTCCGGTGGCTCGTGCAACCACAAACCGCTGGCCCTGCCTTCCGCTTCCTCCTGGAGCGCGAGTTTGCCCACGACCCGATCTCCCCCGGGGAGACGACAGCTCGGGGACCAGGCCCAGCCTGTCTGTGCCAACCACGTCCCACTGGCCACGTCCCACTGGCCACGGCCACGCGCCTGTCGTCCGTGGCTGCTTTTGTGCCACGCGCTTGCGTGGCTCACACAGAGGCCGGGTGGGTGAGCCCCAAAAGTTCGCCTTTAGACAAACGGTTTGCAGCCCCCGCCCTGGGCCACGGCAGGTGACCGCCTGGGTCCCCAGAAAGCCACCCGCCCTGCGACATCCCCTTCAGACACGAAGGAGGAAAAAACTCCCCTCTCCTAGAAGCCGCTGCAGCTTGGGGACTCTCGGTGACGGCACCGTGGCCTTCACGGACACACGCGCCCCGGCAGGGCGGACCCTCCGCGCTCTGGCCGCCGCCCACGTGGCCTCATGCCCGGGACGCCTTGGGGCAGCCGGGCAAGAGGGGACCCGAGACTCCCAGACCCGAGGGATCCGCAGCGACCCCGGGACGGGGGGGGGCTCAGGGCTCCCCACTAGGGGACTCAGGGCCGCTGTCCGCCCCCCCCCTCCTGGGGGACCCCAAGCGGCTGACGTGAGCCACAAGCGCCACGTGCTTTTGGTGACTCTTGTCACTCGCTCCTGCCGTGGCTCCTGCAGCTGCAAAGCGGTGCCGCGACCTCGCTCTCCGCGCCCTCCCCCCGCCGGGCCCCCC